CAGCGAGAAGTTCAAATTTACTATTATATTTAAAGATAAAATGCCTTTCTAAAAAGAAAGGTCTTAAGTCTGCTTTTAAAAGTTTCCACTGTTGACGCTTCACGAATGTCAGCGGGAAGTTCATTCCACAAAAATGGACCAGCCTTGGCAAAAGCTCTGTCGCCAAACGTTTTCCTCATTGTCTTAGGAACTATTAGCAAATTTTGCTCATTCGAGCGCAGGCTGTAGCAACCAATATGCTTAGGTGTCAGAAGGTCTGAGATATAAGGCGGTGCATTAGCATGAAGAGCCTTGTACACCAGCAACAAAATCTTGAAAATCACCCGATACCGTACAGGAAGCCAATGAAGGCCAATCAAAACGGGAGTAATATGATCGAATTTGGGGATTAAACAGACCACACGTGCTGCAGCATTGAGAACTCTTTGTAACCTATCATATTGAGACTGTGGCAGACCATAAAACAATGAGTTACAGTAGTCCAGGTGTGAAGTAACAAAACCATGAACCAAAATCTTTGTTGTATCTTCTGAAAGGAATTTCCTTATCTGCCGGATATTATAGAGGCTGCGAAACGCCTTACTACACACTTTTCCGATGTGAATATCCAGGCGACATATGTGAGTCAAACCACATTCCGAGGCTTTGAACCACCTCCACAGGCTCGATCGTAGATTCACCAACTGTAATTTCATTGATGTTAATCTTTGACATTTGCTGCTTTGAACCGATGATAATAAATTCAGTCTTGGAATCATTTATCAAGAGACGGTTAGAAAGCATCCAGGCACGAATGTCAGCAACACAGTTTTCAATACTGTTTAGTGCAGCATCTTGTGATAAAGATGTATCCGGCCGAAACGAATGATAAATCTGGGTGTCATCTGCATACGTATGTGCATTGGGAAGATGTTTGTCAATAACCTTAAATAACCCAGCCACATAGAGTATGAAGAGGACAGGGCCAAGGCAGCTACCCTGCGGAACTCCCGATTGAAGATTGAAAACTTCCGATTCATGGTCTTTAATTAAAATTGTTTGTTTTCTCTCGGATAAATAAGATGTTAGCCATTTGAGGGCATTTCCAGTTACGCCAAAGTCTTTTTCAAGTGTCTCCAGTAAGATAGCATGGTCGATAGTATCAAATGCGGCACTTAGGTCGATAAGCACAAGAAGCGTAACCTCCTGCTGATCCATACTGAGGAGAATGTCGTTCTGGACTTTTAGTAAAGCTGTTTCTGTTGAGTGATTTTTCCGGTACGCTGATTGATACTCGGGAAAAGGCATACATGTCCAATATCACGATGGGACACGGATCGTGAATATAGTTCACGATCCGTAACACATGGTCAAACAATCACGATGCGCCACGGATCGTGAATATAGTTCACGATCCGTAACACATGGTCAAACAATCACGATGCAACACCGATCGTGAATATAGTTCACGATCCGTAACACATGGTCAAATAATCACGATGCAAGTTATGCAACACCGATCGTGAATATAGTTCACGATCCGTAACACATGGTCAAACAATCACGATGCAACACCGATCGTGAATATAGTTCACGATCCGTAACACATGGTCAAACTGACCTCAAGCTGTGCATGTTTACCTCCAACAGTGCAACAAACGCTAATCATGCAATTGATGCCCTGGCCACTAAATCCGTACGATCCGTGCACATCGTGCGTATGGTGAAAATAAACAGATATTTTTATCCTTATTACCTCACATACGTTTACATTTTCATATATCATGCAATGTGTTTTGTTATTACAATAGCTCATATATGTTTACTGACATTTTCATATATGTAGTGTGTATGCGTCGTTCTCCAAAAGGCGAAACTAAAAGGAATGAACATATATTTTCATTGTTATTACCTCATGTATATTATACATTCTAAATAATATATCAATGCATGTGTATGTGTGTATGCCTCGTTCTCCAAACACGACGAATAAACATACATTTTCATTGTTATATATAAGCTCCTATATGTTCACATCTTCATATTATCAGTGCGGCATTGACTTTATGTCTATACTCTATAGTCCTCATTTGTTTATGGCTAGTGCGGTTTGCCTCCCATGCATTACATTTAAATATTAAAGTTCACTCAAGCGGGATTTTTACTGCTATATATTCACCGCACTTCTCTAATTACTGGTTGTCTGGTTCACTTTTCCTCATGTGATATCATCCAACAAAATCACTGTGAATCACTGTTTTAAGTTAATAAGTTACGCGTGTATGTGTGTATGCCTCGTTCTCCAAACACGACGAATAAACATATATTTTCATTGTTATATATAAGCTCCTATCAATGTGTTTTGTTATTACAATAGCTCATATATGTTTACTGACATTTTCATATATGTAGTGTGTATGCGTCGTTCTCCAAAAGGCGAAACTAAAAGGAATGAACATATATTTTCATTGTTATTACCTCATGTATATTATACATTCTAAATAATCTTTCAATGCATGTATATGTGTGTATGCCTCGTTCTCCAAACACGACGAATAAACATATATTTTCATTGTTATATATAAGCTCCTATATGTTCACATCTTCATATTATCAGTGCGGCATTGACTTTATGTCTATACTCTATAGTCCTCATTTGTTTATGGCTAGTGCGGTTTGCCTCCCATGCATTACATTTAAATATTAAAGTTCACTCAAGCGGGATTTTTACTGCTATATATTCACCGCACTTATCTAATTACTGGTTGTCTGGTTCACTTTTCCTCATGTGATATCATCCAACAAAATCACTGTGAATCACTGTTTTAAGTTAATAAGTTACGACACTAAGTCTAACAATCACTGTTACGAATTTAAAACACTATAAGAATCACTGTTTTTAACTTTATAAGTTACGACGCAGTATCGACAATTTAAAGGCGACAGTTTTATTGCCCCTTTTCATACTAGAGACGCATTATGCGTCTCACGCAACATGCTAGATGAACGCCTATGTTCAATTTTTCGTCTGAGACACACACCAGTCCTAGCTCGTCTATGGCACGGATAATGCGTCTGGTGCCCGCGTCTTTATAATGACGACACATAACAAAACTACATATACGTTATTAATCTGATTATTTCTCCCCGGTTATTGATCTCATTATTTGTCCCGTCTTTATACCAGACAAATAAAGTACAGCACGCACAATGAGCCCAGACGCATAATACGTCCCTCTACCATAATATATAATTATATAAAAACTGTTAATAGTTCACATCTACTATAATTTATTCAACGTTATCTCTAACCTATTCTATAATTGTATTTACAGCATGTTCATTCATGTTCATTCAGGTTATCAAACATATTTTCAAGTTTTTCTACTTTTACATCATACTTAACATAACATATTATAATATAGCATTTGTAAATTCTGAACGCTGATTGGCTAAGAGCCGTGTTCATATAACTCAATGTCAACACGGGAAATTTTCCGCCGCTCGTAAACACGGAAATTTTTCTCATCCTTCGGGCTTTCCACATTGCTATATTATAAGAAAAATATAAAACCTTTTTCCGTATTGATATATACTTATATCAACACTCGTGGAAGTTGGAAAAACTCATACAATTTCTCGTTTTCCCAATTCCACTCGTGTTGATATAACTGTATATCAACACGGAAAATGTTTTATATTTGTTAAACATAACATAACATAACATAACATTAACAACTGGTGACTGTCAATATTGACTACAATTCTCCATTGCCCATTGGCATTGAAGGATTTTCTACAATTGTCTCTCGTCACCATTGAGATATAAATGTTTGCTGTGAAACATATCATAATAGAACCAATAATGCATATTTCTTTCCATATTCAGGTTAATCCGTCTTATTTGTTCCCAACGCTTTCTCATTTTTTCCCCTGCCCCAGTAGGTAGATGTAATAATCCATTTGTATGCAATCAATGGGGGGCAACCGTTTCCTACCAAGAACAATATCAGTTTGAATGTCTCTTTATCCGAAAGCGGTTTCTTCCAGAGAATTAAACGTAGTTCTTTTGGCCAACTGTCTATGTTGTAAAACACGTCTCCATCGAGAAGAGAGACTATTTCGAGTCGTTTCTCTCTAATCTTTTCTTTGGAGCAGTTGAGAACGAAGGCCACAAAGTTGTTAATGTTACTCTCATCCCGTGAGTCTATATTCATTCCCATTATCATTCTGCTATCTACCGAATGACCAACCGACATTATTTGGAAATTTATATGCACCAGTGCCAGTGAATATTGCTAACAACCTTTTCACGGCAAATCTTCAAGCCACCCAACGCCTTATTTAACCCGCCGCACAGCGCCTTTGAAAAGTGTGAAAAGCGATTGTGAGTGTTTTTTTATTAAATTAAAGACGCGTCCTATTTCATTATGAAAGGGTTTAAAAACCCTTTCATCATGAAATACGAAGCGTCTGCAACGCAGGCTAACTTCCGCAACGCGGAAAACGATAAAACTACGTTTAATTAACTGATGATAAAAATCTGTGATAATTTTCCCAAACTCAAAATAATGTATTTTATTTAGAAACATCTACTTCATAAATAAACAAATAAAATGAAGTGTGATTCACAACGTCAACCCCTCCACAAATTTTTTGCCCTTTTGCAAATGATTATTAACATCTTGCGAAATAACACGAATTACGGTTTATGTATTATAGTCTGCGTTATGGTTAGGTTTTATTCTTTACATCATTGTGCATTTGTGCGGAGTGGCTCACCCCATATTAAATATCACATATACATTGCGCGTTATTGTCTTGCTTCTCACATGCATGTCACTATTTGACTGACAAATCCGGTTCACAACGTCACAAACATCTCACTTCTTTGTCATTTCTTACTGACATCTGAGCTGACATACACCTCTGCTACAACAGCCAACAGTACACCGCATAATCGTAATCAGTCTGCTTTACTTCTCAATACAACACTTGCTGTTCACCTGAAAGTGAAAGATATGGCCAATCGTCTACAATCTCTACACACTGCTCTACAATCCTGCTACGACCACGACATTAACTGGACTCTTTTGCCTGAAAAATTGCACAGGGTAAGCAACCACAATCCATTCTGTCTTATAAACCATTTCCAATTTAATCATCGTCATGAAACATAAAGTATTCTTAATCCACTATTTATCCTTTCAAATTTTTAGGTCTGCGCATTGTTTGGCAAAGGTCTAAAGCAACAAGCGAGCACCGTGCTATTGGGTTTCCTTTCTCTTATATCCTTTTGCATTGGTCATGGTGCCATAGACGTTGCGCAGTTCTGGAGGGAGCCAAGTATTCTTTGGTTGGTGATCGTTCTTCCAACTGGTAAGCAAAACGTTAACTTTCGATAGTGTAGTATGTATTTAACACTTCCTTTCCCACAGGCATCGCCATAGGCAAAGGCATATACTAAAATCCTGCGTATACAGCCAATGAGCCACACTGAATGACAATTTGCGCCCATGCATGTGTATGCACTTCTAGACAAACAAATGACACTTGCCACATAAAAACTTGTCATACAAAATATTGTCCAGGCCGCGCATATTGCAGGACAAATAAAAATTTGTCATACAATTACTTCCTCCACTGTAACATGCTTTATAGTTCTAGCCGCACATTTTTTCATCATAGGTTTTTGTGTTAGTGGCTGTGAACGAAAATGCGCCTACTTAGGCCTTAACTCCAAATAATGCCATTTCTCACACACCGCTGCGAGATGCTGCAGCGTCAGCCGCAACAGCGTCTTAATCATTATACCAATTGCCAACCTGCCTTTATACTGCTTTATTTAGGCCTGTTTTACACGTATAATTTCGATCGCGTCCAATGTCATTCAAACAATACATAGTGAAGCTTCATAATTTGGTTTCTCATCTCATTATGTATTCTCTTCATTTCCACGAGACCAAAATTCGACGTATAAGACAGGCCTTAAGGCCGTTTTCCATTAACGTTCGCTTTGCCCAAGCGGCCGAAGCGTTCATTGTTTTTGAAGCCCGTCACGCCCGCTTGACCAGATTTTCAAAGCCCGCTCCGCGCGGGCAAAGCGACTGCAATGGAAAATTACCTTTAGGCCTGTTTCAAACGTCGCGCTTCTCATGTGCCGAACGCATTAAAAACAAAACCTAATCACATTAAATGCCTCATTGTCTATTTTGTTTCCACAACTTTACTATGCATTGGTTTATTCATATTCTCTTTACAAAAGAAAGTTGTTCGTACAATTGATATAAATGCCGACCGTCTTGCTTTTTATCATGAGCCAATATTTAAGAAATTAGTACTTCTCACGTTAGTTGATATTAACTTGTTTCAAAAAGGTTTATTTATGTATTGTTATTGTAATCATCTTCTTCCTCGAAGTTATGATAATGTTTTCTTTCTGTTTTAACAATTAATCAATATGAAACAAGAACTGCTCAAAATTTACGGCCACATGAATGTCATACAACTTTAAAATCGCATACGAGAACTTATCAGGGTCCTGTTTATTGCAATTCTTTGCAATGACAATATAAAAAATCTAGCCAATGTTTCATCGTTTAATTTACAATTAAAATTGTCCTTTTAAAATGCAATTTCATATTCCAACTAAAGTCAAGAACGCAGCAGGATATGGCCAGGCGGCAAGTAACTAGACACATTGGGTTAACTAGACACATTGTCAGATTGGTTAACCCATTAAGCTGCAGAGCGCCGAAGAGGCTGAAGCTGGGGGTCATACCATTTTTCCCTACTAAGAGTTTAGTAAAAAGTTGCTCATTATGGATAACACCAGAGTCAGAAATTTTTTCTGGTTTATTGCCCACTATAGTACGATCAATGAGACTAGAGGTTATCATAGTTATTCGGGTAGCTTTATCAATCAATTGTGACAATTGATATAACTCATACACATCTTCGTCTGTTTTAACCATATCACAGTTTACATCACCCAGAATATACATTTCTTTATTTTCATCATCAATAGCTTTGATCAATTTTTCAAAATGATCAAATAATTCAGACGGTGCATTGGCTGGTCTATAAACTGTTGTAACAAGAAATGGTCTGCTATGTGGCTTAATAATTTCTATACAAACAGCCTCTAGTTCAGAGGAAATTAGATCTTCTCTTATAATGTAGTTGATAGAGCTACACAACTACATACAAACTCCACCCCCATTCCTTGACCTGTCTTTTCTAATAATATCATAATCGTTCAGGAGAATGATGATGTAGTGGTGAGTGCATGTCTACGTTTTTGTGCTCCACTTGAAAAATTTGAGATTAAATCACATTTTAAATATAAGTTTCAGACCGCTGTTGACTCATTAACTGGCAGTGCCCCAAAATGCACCCTACCTTGGTATTTCCTCTGTCTGATGGCAGCCGATTTTTACTCGTCAGTGGTAGAGTACTGCCTGCCAGTAAATAGATTACACTTGATCCAATTTTAATCGGGGCTATGGTGTACGTTTCGTAGACCAATGATTTTGAGATTCAATACATTGGCCAAGTATAAAATGGGCTGTGATAGTTATATGCTGTATATTCAAATACATTCCTCAGCCGGAATATAACCATATACTTCAATGATGGTTTTATAAAAATATTCAATACAAGTATTATTGTATTAACGCTATATTAAAAATTAAAAAAAATATCGTGCACATGCAATATTCGATAAACAATAATTGTGCGGAGTCGGTGAGGTCCAAAAAAAAATCGACCACTCTCAAAAATCCGCCCCCCCCCCAATGAAAAATCAAATAGTCTGTCCCTAATCCAACACAAAGTTCATATTAATCTGTTCAACAAGCGTTATATGTCTTGCGTTTAAGTTGTAATTTTTCCTGCTTCAATTGATTTCTGCAAGTTATAAATTCGTTTTAGAACAGTACCAAATGACATTCCACTGGGCAGAAAGCTCCACTTAATAAAGATTAATATTGTCGGGGATTGCCGTAGTGTATTTTGTTTTGAAATAAATTGATAAACTGAGGCGTTCACACTGGCCTCAAAAAATGGCATCTTGCATGGCCAGAGGTGAGTATGGATGCTGAGGGTCTCATTCATTTAAATACAATCAATAACTGCAACCACGATAATCAAGTTGAATTTTTCAGTTTACGTGGCACTAATATGTGACTTGCGCGACAATAATAAACACCGTATTATTAAATTGAAATGAAATTTAAATTGGGCTGAAGATCCGAAACGCAAGCGAACTCATTGCCCAGCCTAGACCTAGCCATTTACTCGGCTGGCTTTGCCAGGTATCTTTGGCAGGTTTGGTTAATTTTCCGCCTAGCATTTGGTAATTATCGCAACGGTCATTTGCCTCGTAAAAGCCTAGTAGATTTCACAAGTTCTCAAATTAGCCCCATAACTTTGTGATCCGAAATTTATCAGAAACAAACAACTAAAGCAATTTATACTGTCCACTAGTTATTACATTAACTATAAAAACATTTTATGACTAAACTAACCTATTATTACTTTATATAAAATGTCGCGTTAAATTGTATTTATAAACATCTTTAAAGGCCTTTAAAGTTGCAACAATTTTGTACACCCATTTTATATACTCCAAATAATTCTTTTATTCGCAAGACAATCTACTGTTTTGCTTTGAATAACTATATTTGCGAATCGGAAATGATGATTTTCACATCATTGTTCAAGTATTATGGACATACCATTTGTAAACAATGTACGTTTTATGCACTGTACGGGCTAATAATATATGTATCCGTTCTATTTAAATTATTTAATAATTATATATGTAAACACAAGGCTGCTTCTTGCCAAAATATATATTAATGTAGTTGTGTATAACACAATATTTCATGAAAGATTCTACTTTTCCTATATATTTTGACTCATCTTGAGCTTTCCCTACACTTTCTCAACATAATAATAGTGTTCCTTCAAACTTTATGATAAAAACCCCGATTTTCTAGGCGTGTATACAAATAAAAATAGTAAGTTTATACTATAAATGAGTTTATTTTACCTGTATCGGTTTAAATTAGCTGTTAAGTTGTATAAAATAATTCTGCTTGAGAACGCAATAATTCGTCATATCCACATGCGTAGTTCAATCTTAGCCAGAATTCCTGACTTCCGGCAACGGATTATCCCACAGCCTCGCGTTCCCTCCCGAGGATCGCAGGCTCGGGGAACGAGATTGGAATATGTATATATTAATTATAGGCACAATTATATAACTGCAATCTCGTTTCCGTATGCTCTTGTAATATATAAATAGGAACTCCGTAACATGTTTACAACTTCTACGCTGCTTTCGTTATCTAAATTTGGAAATGGCGTACATATCTACGGGCGTGGCACGTATTGGTATTTAAAAATAGTAGCGTATTAAAATGTGACTCTGATGTAATCTTTCTACTGTCAATCATTTTTAAATCAACCAATCAAAGACAAGAATGACGAATTACAATGTTAACTCCAAAACCAGAGCTGCAAAACTAAGTCACACAAGCGTTCTGTCGTTATCGGAAAATGTATGGCTCATAAGTTGTCATTGCTCATTAGTGAATGCGCGTATACATGAAACTGTTTTTTACAGTTTCAATATTAGTTTGTAACTTTGTAAATCTCTGAACGGTAAAACTTGCCAATACTCCAATAATACTTTTCAAAAAAGACAAAAAAGCTTTAGTTTTGCAGAGTTAAATTCTCAAACGTGTAAGGCAATAATAAGATGAAAGTATCACGAAATTATTTGAATAAACCACATCGCATATATGGGGGGCGAATGTCCTAAAGATGGGCGATATTCCTAGGGTATTTGCCCCACCCCTCTGGGAGGTGATATTCCCAGGATATTCGCCCCCGGGGGCGATATTCCTAGGAATATCGCCACGTTTTGAGGGGGGGGGCGAATTTCCTGGGGGGGCGACCTTTTTAAAAATTCTATCTTGCCCCCCCAAAATTTGAGTTTGCCCCTCAAATGCCCCCCCAAATTTGGAAGCCTGGTGCCGCCACTGCAAATTAACCATGAAAATCGTGTCCCAACGTTTTTGTCCCATAAACAAAACTTTACGAAATATATAAACTGTTCTATTATCTTACCGAAGGGGTTTCATCTTCATTTATTAAAAGTCATCATGTTGTTTTATTGACAAATATACACTCGCATACATGAACTATACACATTGCGAACGAACAAACGAACACCTACAGAATATTATGATGTGCAAACTAAAATTTAATATACCTGGTCATATTTTTCATAGGCTTGAATAAATTTCAAAATGTAATATATTACAAACCCCAACTACTTACATTGTAAGTTTAGTTTGTTGGTGCTAGGTCGATAAAATTCCAATTCAGTTTGATTTTCAGTTGCAACTATTTTATTTTCAATTTGGTTTCAGTTTTGTTTCAAATAATTTTTAACAGTTTTTTTTTAACCTTCTCTATAAAGCAGATTACATTTCAAATCACATTTACATTAGATTTAAAATGTACCCTAAAATAAATGAATGTAGCGATCGTCCACCATAGAACAGTTACTCAAACTGGGCATATAGTGCATACTGTTGCTGCTCACCACTTTTGCATACTAACTTCGGCTTAAATTTCAGGCAGATGCAAGAGTACCTTTCACCAGTTTTTGTATGGTATCATGGAGCGAGTCACAGAGAAAGTCACATCAAATGGTCACGAGGCAAAGCCAATTTTCCTCCCCCATTGCACATGGGATAAATCCGGGGACATACTCGCCAATTCTGGAGGTCGGTCTATTGGACTTTTTGACGAGCTCATCGCGTTTTTCGCCACTATGAACATGTACTCGTCCAGCAAAATGCAGTTCTCCGACACCAAGGAATACCAAGATTTCCTGCAAATGTATACCGGTAAAAGCAAAACCAGGGAAACAGGTAATTCATAAAAAGCATCCTTTTGTGGTTAGCTCTTGCAAAACCATTCCAATTGATCTCAAAATGAAGAAAGTGTTTTCCACATAATTACATATAGTCATATGTTCGTTTCTTCAGAATCATAAGCACTAGTTCATGTGTATCTATTCTACTGATAATGAAACGGCACCGCATGTCAGCATTCTGTGTGGTTACTGTACTAATTTAGCCATTTCGTTTTTCTATCATTATTTAGTCACCGGCAATGCCAATTTCAAAATGTCTCAAACCTCCTTTACCTTGTTGGGGTTCACCCAACCACAAACTGCGGTGCCAATCATACAGGACCCCCAGAACAACTCAAAGGGATTTACCTCACGATTGCTATGGTTTTTCCCAAAACCTATCTATTGCAAAATGCAAGACACGCTGCTGACAGAAGAGGAAAAACCAGAGATAATGGAATTTGAAGAAAATCTGAGTTAGTAAAATTGCTAAATGTAATTGCATGCAGTTCAACATTGTATTAATTTTTTCTTCCACCATTATATAGGTTGCCTCTTTAAAGCACTTTCACCATTTCTCCTCTTTTTAATTGCCTATTATGGAACTTAATGGGAATACCATCATGTCAGTCAAATTTCACATTAAAAAATCTTTTATTCCCTCAAGAACATTTATAAATAAATGTTTAATAATTCACACGAAATATTCATATTCTTTATATTTCACAACGTTCCTTTTTAATACACTCTGAGTTTAATTCATAATCCTTTTTCATATTATTATATGCGATCATAAATATTTTCAATGATCAAGCCCACTTGCGTCTCGCAAACCAATACAATTAAACATTTATCAGCAGTAACGATTAACTAAAATGTAATTACGACATGTATTTTACTACTAATCATGAAGTTTGTTAAGTCCATAATTTCCTTTCTTACATCTCTTGCCAGCAATCTCTCTCATCTTTATTACTTTATATAGTCAACTTTCTGGTTGAATTATATATGGAAGGAGAACAAACTTATGTTATCGAAGAGGAAGAGAAGATCACAAACGTTACTGTCAACAGAAGAGAATATTCTTTGTCACCTGAAGCACTGGAAAAATTTCAGGAAGTTCATGATGATTGGGAAATGAACATGTGCCAAAAGTATCCATATGAACCATTGATTGGAGGTAAGTCACAAAAAAGGCAATTTAGGCATAAACATCCCATTCCCAAACTCCGACTCACACCGATGAAGACGACATGGTCACCCATTATTTTTTTGCGGCGTTGCTCCTACGTGTAAGCATGGATAATAAAATAAATGGATAGGAAACTACCTGACGTGACCTAATGTTTTTACTGGGATTGATGGTGTGGTTGGATGCCTCAACCTAGTTTAAAATCAAATTCTCAAAAACGGCATGTTTAGCAATAATACAGCTAAACATTTTAGTCAAAGAGCAAATAAATGTAACCACGCCATTCTACGATGAAAACTCTAAGTATTCCCAGTCAATTTTAGCAAATATTTCAAGCACTAAACAGTTAAAAATACATCGCAAATTTCGTTAAAATTTGTGACGCCAATTTCGTACCTACAAATGTAAAAAAATACAAAACAAAGACGAAAAACATTTACCTTGAATACTTTGTCGTGGCTTAGGCATGTTTTTAAAACAATTAGACCAGTTTACGCTTCAACATCACCCTTTTAAAGTGGAAAATATAGCAAAACAACAAATATGCCGAGAACTTTGGTAACATTCGCAATACGCGTGACGTCACGTTTTTCAACAACCATGCAGTCAATTACGTCAGAAGTTTCCTATCCAGTTATTTTACAATCCATGGTGTAAGTAAGTGTTGGCGTTAAATTTTTATAATTTCAGTAAATACCAATAGTGGATACTGAATACTGTACATTAAGTGTAAAACACCAAAAGGCAAATGATCACAAAATCATCAAAATCGATTGTTCCACACACTTACACGATACAAACAACAGCTTTTGTTAACGGTATCAACATCATATTTCAGGACTATTTTCGCGCGGGAAATCACAGGTCCTAAGATTAGCCATAGCTGTACAATCCATGACAAACTTCATGGATACCTTAGACGAGGAAAATAGTAGGAACAATGATAAGGACAATGTAAATGAAGACGAAGTAAACGACCATGACAGTGTAAATGACAGCGAAGAAGCAAGCGACCTAGACAGTGTAAAGGAGAACGATGAGGAAACTGACGCCGAAGAAGTAAACGAGAACGATAAAGAAACTGACGGCGATGAAGCAAACGACAACGATGAAGAAACTGACGGCGAAGAGGTAAACGACAACGACGAAGAAACTGACGGCGATGAAACAAATGACAACGATGAAGAAACTGACGGCAATGAAGCAAACGACGAGGATGTCAACGACAAAGATGAAGAAACCGACGATGAAGTAAATGCCGACGATGAAGTAAACAACGATGATGATGATCAGAGCGACGATGCTGATGAACCCTTTCCTCCACTTGCGTCTTTGGAGGTCACACCAACAACTATTCAGATAGCTGCATCTATTGTCAATTGCTCCTTGACGCAAGTTTGTAAGTTACAATTATTGCACACTCCGTATGATACTCTGCATGCAGGAAACTTGGGCGAACAAAATGCACTCTAGTATACCATGATATAGAATCTGTTAATAAGATCTCTTGCATCTTGTTTTGCCTACACAGGTATATTGACAAAGAAAGGATTTGTTAATGAAGCAGACGTGTTCAATGACCAGCCATCAACATCAACCGGCCTTGGAAACACGAACTTGAATAGAGAAATCCTTTTGCAGTCAGGAGAAGTTGTTAGCATGTCACTTCTTCTCCGGGGGTCCACATTCCGGCGTAAAACTAGTGATGGAGTCACTGGTAAGAAGCTGATGGATAAGTGCGTTGACGATCTGCGCAAGTCAGATCTCGTCAAAGTACACACAGTGTATGCCAGAAATAAGACATATGTAAGTATAGCTCCACATCACATATGCATGTTTCCCTGCGAACACGTACACGAATCCGCAACAACGATTCACGACAGCCATACTTAAGCAAACCTATACTCTATATAGGCTTATATATAGACTTATATAAACACGAATGGAAGTTAGGAAAATGACAAATTGTTTGAAGGGTGATTGTTGCCATCACAATTTCCAGTTTTCCCAACTTTTCCAACTTTCCACACTGTTTATATAACTCAGTATCAACACGGAAAGATGTTTTATATATTTGATGTTTTATAATACAGCACTAGGAAATAAATAATAACAACTGATAAAATGATTAAAATTCAATTAGAGAGTGGCGCAAAATTTCCGTGCTTATATCAACATGGCTCTTAACCAATCAGTGTACAGAATTCACAATTTATGCTCTATTATAAATTATAATATTATTCATATAATATATTCTTAATTTCTCCAGGTCCATTTTCTGCTGAAGCGAGAACCCCCCAACGACGACAGCGAAGAACTACTGTCATTTATCGAAAAGCTGGCGAAAATCGGAATTAATATTAAAGAGTATTCCGACGCATACGCAAGAATAAATGAAGATAGGTATGTCAAATATGTGTACAATTAACGACCGTTGCACCAGTAACCTGCATACTAGCCTGTGAGCAGGCTCTCAAGGTGAAATGAGAGCCTGTACTGATAGCATATAATTTTAAATATCTGCGTCTCCAATCAGTTGAAAGAAATTGTCATTACCATTGGTCAGATGCTGTAATTTATATGTTTCCGTTGACCTCTATATATGTCAACTGCTGAAGCACTAGGCGTAAAAACACATTAATTGATCAATTGGCCTTCTTATCTCAAAGCACGAAATGTTCTGTTTTGAGAAAACAGTATTTAAAATATTTAAATTTTTGCTTGAATGTCTCATATTTTGAAAAAAGTATAAACTGTACGGTCTAAATTTAGTTTACACCAAGTTGTAAACAACACCATATAAGGATGGACATTCCACATTTGGAAAAACGAACGTTACGGGCCAGATATTCAAAATTGTATGTCATCACTGCAGGCTCTCATTTCACCATGAGAGCCTGCTTGCAGGCTATACAATCACGTAAATCATTTCGCGATGTCAGTGTTCTTTATATTTGCCATTGCAGCGAAAGACACCTGGCAGATTATAAGAACAAAAAAGCAAATGAAGATGTCTCATGCTCACCAAGCAAACGACCAAGGTTGTGAGTACACTGGCTTAAAGTCGTGCCCACAGAAACCTTACGAATAATGTGGATCAATTCATTTCCTAACTTGAAACTCGAAAGAGGGCCTCTGATACTTCAAAAGTTGCAAAACCTAAACAATTCAAAACTTCCTTTCCAATAGACCAATGAGAATTTATATTTTATTTGTACGCAATTTCAAAGGAACTTTTGATTTGTTAAAGTAAACCTGTTACAAATATTCAGGAAGTGTTAGGGGTGTTCCTAAAATCATAGATAGATTTATTTAACCACGCTAACCTCGTCAACTACAGCTGATTTCCACGATTTTTTTTATTTTTCTATACTACAGCTGATTTCCACGATTTTTTTATTTTATTTATTTCCACATTTTTTTATTTTGTTACGGCTGTAAAAGTGTAAATATTTCATATTCAAATCAGCAAAACCCATCAGTTTACATGTGAATACGTTAAAAAGTTGGCAAATTAGTTGTGAAGTTTGCTGCACATCATTTCAAAGAGTCATTGTCAACCACAATATCAATGCGTCTGTTTACATTTTACCGTGGGAATAATTGAACAGGAACAAATTGCGCTTATAAATATTTCTTCGCTGCATTTTCAGTGTAAATGATTAGTTAAAATTAGCATATTATGGATTGAAAACAGAAACATCTATCCTATTACTCCACCATTAAGTGACCGCCAAGCAGATTTGTGCGCAAATGCATTGTGGTTCATAATGACTCCTCAAAGCTTGGTTATCACCAATTGTGACTCAAGCCGGTTTTCCAGTCCTCGCACGAAGCTCCTCGCAGCTCGCTACGAGTGCATGCATGACCACTTTCATCCAATCACAATGCAAAACAACTTCGTGCGAGGACTGGAAAACCGCCTTCAGAACTGCATTACATGTTTAAAATTACAATTCTATGTAATAATTTTCTTTTTAGTAACGACCAGAAGGCTTTTTTTTATAACAAATTTAATAAATTCTAACAACGTTTCGGAGTTTACTCCATCATCAGGTTACATTTATACGCACAGTGTATAAATGTAACCTGATGATGGAGTAAACTCCGAAACGTTGTTACAATTTATTAAATTTGTTATAAAAAAAAGGAGCCTTCTGGTCGTTACTAAAAAGAAAATTATTACATTTAAATGAGGCTTACAGAAAGTTCGCTTCTAATCACATTGTACAATTCTATGATCTATGTATTTAGAACCGGGAAACGACAAAACGCCGACCCCAGGTCCATGGACTACCTTCGTGGACCTGGTCCATGGACTACACTCGTGGACCACGGACCACTCCCGTGGACCACTCTCGTGGACCACTTGCGAAATTTCGCCTACCGAACAATAGACCAAGCACTATTATTCCGAGTTTAGGGAGCCGAGATTAGCGGGAACTATTTCATTATTTATTTCCATTATCTATTTCACAATCAATTCTTAATTTTTGAAGCTTGATTACTGCTTTTCCTGCATTTCCTGTAGCGATCGAGAAAAAAAACTACCAATTTTAAGGGCATATATTCGGAAACTTTGCATTAAAGTCGTAATTGCACACTTATATTTTAGAACGCTCATGTAGTGAATGGATTTAGAACTTCACATTTTGTGTAAAGTTTCCACAATGATAATAATGACTGAACTTGACTCGAGCACATTTTTGCATGCACAGTCAAGAATTCAAACCCCAAAAATCTGGTGTCTCGCAAGTGGTCCATGAGAGTGGTCCACGAGAGTGGTCCACGAAGGTAGTCCACGGACCTGGGGTCCGCGTTTTGTCGTTTCCCTTTAGAACCATCCTCAGAGATACGAAAAACTAGTTTCATATTCTTTTATCAAATCCCGCTTGTCAGAATAATATTAAACTAGTCTTTCTATAATTACGGGAACCACTCAGTATTTTATAAGAAAATACAAAATAACAGTAACTCCGAATAACATTTTGATTTTTAATCGACGTTTCGACTAGTTTGTAGTCATCCTCAGGATTATCCCTGGGGATGACTCATAGAAATATTATTTCTATGGGATGACTACAAACTGGTGGAAACGTCGATTAAGAGAATGTTATATAGTTTAGATTTTCAAACATTTTTGTTCAGTATTTGCACTATGCTGTCCACAACATTTATTGTAGTCACACAAAATTGTTTATTATATACATTAGCACATTATTGTAAATCACCAATTGGATATCTTATTGCTCATTCTACTCTACGTAATAAAATGGCAACACGGATTATTATCGATATGTCTATGTGCCTGCGTTATTTTCCAGCGGAAACTATTGTACGGATCCTATTGTATGTAGGAAACTTCTAAAAGTTGGGGGGGGGGGAAGGCTTTCAGGGGCACTTTTTTTTTAACAAGATACCATAAAAGCAATCAATTTCAAAAGAAGTCTTATTCGTCTGGCAGAACACATATATATTAACATGCAACCCCCCCCCCCCAAAGTTATCATGTCTAGTTATGGCACTAAAAGGAGTAATGGAAAAATGAAGGGGGTAGTTCATGGCCACTAAATGTTTTAAGATGACCTAATGAAGGCAGTATATTAAAAATTAAACCTAACAAGAATGAGCTGAAACAATATGACTTGTCCACTCACATCAGGCACATGAAAACTTACATGTAAAAATCCATGACTTTCAGCAGAGCGTTGACTTTTGCTCTTTTCAGGACTGGGTTCGAGTCGCATTGAGAAGGCTCTCATTGAGGCTTGAACCTGCGGCCTCAGAGGTTGAAAGGCACGTGCGCTTATGAACTAGACCAGAGCCTATCAGGACTAGATTCTATCGGTCTACCTGAACTAGACCAGAGTCTATCGGTCTTAAGCAAATCATATTAAATATTGTCAACCAAATTAATGTAACAACAACCATTTTAAGTTTCTTTGCAATTGTAAACCTTCAATAGTCCCTTAATTCTTTCTCAATTTTCTGATTTAAATGTCTTCTATATTCCAGCAACACTCTATAATCCACATAATCTTAAAGTTAATGTACCACTGACAATTAAAGCACATTCTGTAAGCATAGTCTGTGTCAATATAGTGATTCCGAAAATAATTAAGTATCCAATTGACCCAATATTGAGTTCTATGTGGTATCACTGTTTGAACTCTGAAGATGTACAACACCTTTCAACATTTGCAAGACTGCAACCATCCCTGCATGAAGTTTAAAACAAATTATTAAAATTAACTTGATGAATGTATCCATGACTTGATGACTAGAAGATAGTAACACATTTAAATAGCCAGACATATCAATAATTTCTTTATAAGTTTATTTACTTTATCAATTTCATGGAGTGCCTGTTTTGAAAGCTTGCTTTTCCCAATTATTGGAGTATGAATTACAAAAATGATTATTTGTCCTGCTTTGAAATAATACACATAAAATACTTTATATACCGTATACATAGTAAAATCATCAATGGCCATCAATAACCCGTCCAGGGAATAATTTGGACAATTATTAAAACAATAAAGAAATATTTAAACGTGCGAGGATCTACCAAAACATTTATTATATATTTAGCTGTCATGGCAGCCTCATCCTTCATACTCCCAAGCAAAACTCGCAACTAAATTGTGCCAAAAAAAAATTACGCTACCAGACTCGACAAATAAAAATTCGCTTACTTTTTCTTCAATATATTCATAAAACAGATGAAAATAGTCCACTTATATTCCAAAAGGAGCAGTTTTAATAATCATAGTGCGGTCTCCGTACTACCCAGTGATACTACCTAAGAACATGGCCGCTGCTCTCTCGCGGGTGTATGCAGGCCTATGTCGGCGCGACCATAGAGATTATAAATAACACGTCTCATGTGCTGAACGCAATAAGCGTCTCATGTGCTGAACGCATTAAAACAGCATGAGCTCCACCTTTGAATTTACTATATGACTAAATTCTTAAACACATCCGAATTTATCATTATGATAAATTCGCGGCACATTTTCAGTTTATCATAATAATAAATTCGCGGCACCTAAAGCCCGCCGCACACGAGCGCACTTGTCGCGCGTACTTGTTATTCGTGACAAGTTGGATCGAAAAAATTTCCTCTTGTGCGGGCAACATTTACGACATTTTCGTCATTCGTGAATATCAAACATGTTTGCCATTTTTCGTCATTTGTGACAAAAAATTCTCGTGTGCGGCGAGCAAACGACAAGTGCGCCTGAATACTGTCTAAATCATCTAATATATATTTCACACAGTTTCGTTGAATTTTCAAAGAATTGTGCCGGTTTCCTATGGATTTTACGGTGTGTCGCACTCTGGCCTTTCTTGCGTGTTGAATTAGTGTGTTTTTCTTTGTGTAACGACTCGAAAACCCCAAAATTTGGACCCAGCGAATTTATACAATATAGTTTCTTGTTGAAACATGAAACCGACACGCGCGCAGCACCTTGGCAGCGTCTATTGAGCCACAGCTTGAGGTCAATGAAACACTCTGAAACACAGTGATGGAAAGCTATATCAAAAGCCCTTTTTTTATTCGAAAATTGATGTTTCTGTTTCAATTGGTTGGCCAAACGTTTCTATGGCTTCCTCAATGTTATTCGGTTATAAGGCGTTATGTAGTGCTTGGCATCTCGAATGAGCAGGAGGAAATCGCAAACGAAATTGAAGATCAACGCTTTGCCCACGAAGTTAACAGCCTTTTGTATATATGCAGGAACAAAAATGTTACGAAGGGATTTAAAGAACAATTTTCTGAGTTTCACGACTTTACCTTGCAAGCTGGGATGCCAATGGCAACAATTTTAGCGACCAAACGAGAACAGTGCCGCCGTTGTAATAAAACCTTGGTTGTGGACGGCAAGCCACATGTTATCGTTTTTTATCACATTTTCTTGGGAAGTTACCTTGGTTCTCGGATAACGAAGTGTTGTCGCAAGTGCAAGATCTATGAGCATTACGGTTTTTGGGTTCAAAATGGCAAACGTCACGTTGATGAACATTGTTTGGAAATGGATTTCCTTCTCTCATCAGACGAAACAGCTTTTGACATGTCACTCCTTTGGCAGACTGCTAGTTTGCTTGTTCTTGGGGCTGTCCCTTTCCGAACAATGGCAGCATCGTATAACCGACGATTTGGATACGACAAAGTGAAAAACCGCACAATGGACCAATCAAGACCCAAAAGAATGAAACGGTTTGTCAAACCTGATATTTTTATGTTTTTACCTAATTATCCACCTATTATTTCCAACACCTCCTTGGAGGGCGCGCAAACCCAGGGACAGGTTTCACATTTTTCAGTCAAATTCCCCACCCAATGCCACAACTTATATGTCCACGCACCCTGTTAACCCTGTAAGTGGCAATGCGCCCTACTTTATTATTTTACACTGTCAATGCCAGATTATTTTACTCTATCTGACACCAAACCATATAACTTGGCAGGGGGAGTCTCAGTGCTCCCACTCAGTGTGTTAATGTTGATGCATATAAGCTGGGGTGGATTTATAGGGGGGGGGGGTTGCACAGGGCTGCCAACCCCTGTTCACCTTTTTACAAAAAAAGTTGTCCGGGGAGGGGAGTTTTAAACATCAGTAACAGCCATAATTTATACACTGCATAATTTATATACTGTTATCTTAAAGTTTGTAAATATTATGTACTAGAAAATAAATTATTTATATAATTATCTTAATATTTAGAGATACCAACCAACAACAAAAAGAAATGTTAGAAGGACGACAGTTCTTAGACCGCAGACGTCTGGAGGAGGCCTTCTTACTGTTTGGTGCTTTAGAAATTATTATTAAATACAGCATCAATATCGAAAATATAACATGCGATAGAAATCAGCTGACAGAGTTACTTGTCAAGCAGTTTGAGAGAGTGTTTTATCAAAAGTGGACAGGTGTATATTATATTCATAATTACTTGACTGGAATACTGCAAATTGTGTCTTGAAACTTTAAAAATCATAATAATAAAATAACCAGATTGGTGGTTTTCCAGCCATTTCTATGTTTGCAATTTCGGTTGAAGGAAATTTTCACCTGATAACAATGGCTGCAAAACAGCCTAACAAATTGGCCAAGCTGCAACACATAATGACTGAAGATGGCAATATTAGTGAAACCATAGAATCATTCAAATAAGTTTGGCAGTTAACCAAGTCAAATGTCCAAGTCACTGTTTAACTGTCTTTGTCAATTCCATGATGTACTTTACAGTATCCTAACCCTACTCCTAACCCTACTCAACTGTGAATTTTCTTATATTTCGTCTTTTTGTATATGACTCTGCCGTTTGAGTTGGATTTCACTTGGTAAATGGACACACTCTCATTGAAATGAATGATTCCATGACCCAAACTTTTCAAAATACATTTACAACACTTCAGTGAACATCACACAGAAGATAACCCTATTATTCCCATTTGCCAACCTGTAATTTTCCAAATGTAAATTTCAACCAACAGTAATTAATATACTGTAAGTAAAAACTCTAGTAACATATTAATATCATTTATATGATTTTACTTCATGGCAGATCATGTTTGTGATGTCCCAGGATGCAAAGATGTTCTCGTTCTTGATGGAAACATGAAAAATGCGAGACAAGTGTGTTCTTGCAGAAATATTGGAGAACTCTACTTTGATGGGATGAAAGGTACTATTGTTATTGGTAAGTATTTGTGATACTGTAGTCTGTAGGCACACAAATAATATGCTATTTTATTTGGCTTTTTCCCTATTACATACAGTATTATCATGTACAGTATCTATAATTAAAAGCTCATTCATCATTCATGAAGAAAATTCAAAATAAGTGAATGTTTAATTTCAAATAAAGATTTGTGCTCATTTACATAAAATTCAGCTTTTATTTTGTAGGCTTAGACATTTTTTTTTTAATTACTTCGCTAATGAACTCATAAGACATGTCGTTTTTTACAACAAATTAAACATCTGATATACAAACTAGAGGCAAAGGCGAGAGTTGGTATATCAGATAAAATCGGATGTGAATGGAGGAGGGGAATTCCCCCCCCCCCTCCCATGCAAATAGAGTTGGGAGAAATTCCCCGCAAGTAAAAAACTCTGAAATTTGGGGGGGGGGGGGTTAACTCCCATCCAAGTCCCAAAAACCTAAACTACCCCTAATAATACAACAATCCATGGCCGTAGGAACCACGGGGAACAGGGAGGGTGCTTGAGCCACCCTAACTTTTAGAAACTGGGCTAAGCCTGCCTAAAAATTCTAATTTCTAAGTGAATCTCGAAGTGAATGCACAGTTGCACATGTTTAATTAATGCATGGCGCAGAGATGTATGGTGCAGAGGACAACTTAATCTTCCTTTGCGCCAGCTGTATCCCAAATCTAACCCCTAAATGCAGGAAAATAAAAAATTTAAAATAAAAAATTTTCTCTAGTGGCAGTTCGTGCCCGCCATTCAGCCCCCCCCCCCCCTAACTTTAATCATCTTCCTACGGCCCTGCAACAATCAGATGCGCCCAGTATAGTGTTGTATAGGTTTTCTCAGTAATGATCATCTTTGATACTGGTACTGTAGGATGTCAAAACACACCAAGCAAGTCATCGAGGTTCTGTGAAGAACACAAAAACCTGGCAACACAATTTAAAGATGATTCATCATCCATCCCTCAATGTGAACCAACCACCATCAATGATGAAAACATTGGTGATGTAGGTGATATTATGCCAGTAAAGGTTATAAATCATCGAGAGACAAGACAAGCAAAATTCTATCAGGTACTGTTCTACTATGTACCTGTTATGTACTGTGCACAGTATGCACAGTTGCTTCAATCGGTTCATTTTCATCATATCAATTTATTGCATTGAAGAGATGTGTGCTTCCCTTAACGAAGGTTTATCACTAATTAGAATACTCATCAAGGAGGGTCTTGCAAACCTCGCTTACAGTAATAATGCATTACCTACTATTGGGGTCGGTTGTTCAAAAGCCGATTCCCTTAACCCTGGGGTTAACTTAAAATTCAAAGCATACTTCCTAACAGCTTGTTTATAAATTTGGAAATATTTCTTCACAAATCATGTCTGCATCAATAGAAGTTTTGTTTTCTGACATTTTGAAATAAATCGACAGGAAGAAATATGCAAACTAACACAGTGAGTTAAATTTTAAACCTGTATTAGCGCTAATCCACCTTTGAACAAGCTACCCCTGAACAGTATGTTAAGCTGATGTTTCATAAAACCTCATTTGCATTGCTGGTTCACATAGTTTTCTTGAAAGTTGTTCAGTTTAACATCACCTCTAGTTTTACTGTTAAATGCTAGAAAATTACTACAGTGTATTAATGCCAACTGGTGTTAACCCATTAGATAGCAATGCACCCAGATGTGCACCCATGTTCTTTATGTACAATAAATTATTTACATGTCTTGGCAGGTGTTGTGGAGTAATGGTTTACAAAGTTGGGTGAAAGAAATCAATCTCCCAAAGAAAGTTTTGGATATTGTTAAAAACGGAAATTCGTACGAAGTCAACCGAAATTATCTTGAAGAGTTTGGACAAAAGAGAGCTGTACTGCAGCAAACAGCTACAAAGAGTGATGATGGATCTAATGTAATGAAAAGGTAATTTTTATTATTTTATTGTTAATTAATTTTTAAATAATTAAACAAATTAAATAGCCATTAAGCCATTTTAGTACCAAAATTTACACCATGTTTCTAATTTAGTTCTGGATTCGCTGTTATTAATGACAAAGACAATCAAGTAATGGAAGGTGAAAATGTCAGAGTGTTGAAATGTGGGACTGAAAAGGGAAAACATAAATGTAAAAATCAGCGAACTGCAGGTACAATTTTTAGCAGATCAATTCCCAACATACTGTATCACTGTACGTTATTCACTCCCGAGTGTAGGGTGTTCATGTCATTGCCTATTAAATGCTACAGTATGTTGATGTCCTTGAGCCGTTTTCTTTTTGTTTATGCCTGTGCACAGCAACGTTTAATAATTAATAAATAAATAAATAACAATTATTACATAGCGTAACAGACGCTAGCAGTAAAAAAAAATTCACATTTTTGTGAACAGCCTCGCACACAAATCGTGGCAAGTTGACAAAATAAAATGTCAAATGAGCTTTAAATCAAACTGCCATCATATCATGATACACTACAGTAATTGTGTCACAACAGTTTCATACAGAATGAACGAAGGAGAATGCTAGAACATTTTTGAAATTTACCAGAATCAAGTCCACTTCTTAAAGTTAACTTTATTGAAACAACTATGTTATCTTGTATTTCATGAGCAACTTGATTTCATGAGCAACAGTAGCACTTTAAAAAGTTGCCATGCACACCTATATTGCTCACCCTTACTGTCAACATGTTACTGCTCTACTGACTCTACTGCACATCTGAATGCCTAGATTGCTAAGGATATTTACTCTTATTTACTTACCATTGTTCCGCAGGTATATTAGTATTTGAAAAGCCATGTGGAGTTGTTATTGGAGTTAGAGAGCTGTTTGGTTCAGAAAGTAAGAGCCAGGTGTATGCTCACTTGCATACCCTATTTCAGGACAAAAAGATTGATGATGTTGGTATGTTTAAATGTGGTTATATAATACGAATAATTTTTGTAACACATTTTCTCCCAGTGGGAAAGATACAGTAGCCAAAGCAAATGGTCATATGGATGCAGTGCTAATACAGTAAACCTGTATCTTCTAAGGTTTAAATATTGCAAATCATTGAAAAGTTGCATAGTTTTAAGATTGGGAAAAGACCATGCAACCCCTAACCTACTAACCAAATCCAAAATTACCATCACTGATGCTAACATTTTAAACATACAGTACAGCATATAATGAGTAAAAAAAGACAGAACATTGGGCCACATTCAAAAAAGACACAACATTGGGCCACATTCATATATTAGACTGAATTAAAATGAAACCAATGCAGAGACTGTGTGTTGTAATGCTGTGGCCCTTTAATTCTACTAATGGTATAACTTATTTTTCTTTTCATCCAACTATGTTCTTTAAAAAGACCTTTTTGATTGTGGCACAGTATAGGGAAACAACAGTAGGGCCACTCAGCGTAAAAACATGTCCAGATTGTTTACTGGCTGCCAACCGAATTTACATATTGGCAGCCAGTAAACGGCAGAAAATTAAAATCACTATAAAATTGTATTACAGAGCAATGATTTTGGCCACGTAAGACACCTGGGACCTACCTTAAATAATTCCCACTTTTGTCTCCCCTAAGTGGCCTTACTGCTTGTCTCTCATATACTGTGATTCTGGTTATATTGTACAGGTGTTATGGAAAACCTTAGAATTATGCCTCTTTACGTACCATTAATAAGTAAACACTAGGCTTCGGACAGTTGCATATCGCAAGTGTTGTTTGTTTACTGTATTAGTTCATTGCAGTCTATGCAGGAAACAAACAAAACAGCTGTACACAAAGTGTATGACGATGCATCATTTCGTAGTTAACTTATGTGTTCTATCATTTTAATTGTGTAGAGACAATTTGCTATGATGATGCATGCCACCTTAAAAAATTTGCAATGAACCCCAAAAGGTCAAATATTACAGAGGTGGCAGACAATATCGCATCCAAAAACATTGTATGTGACAGATTCCATTTCAAAAATCATATTGACAAATGGTGTATCAAAAATTGCAATCCCTATGATTGTGAAAACTTGAAGGTATGTGTTATTTGGAAAATGACATTTAATATATTTATACAGTATCAAATCAATGTAGTGACATTTAAACCAGTCACTGTACATTTACAGTATATACTTTATCTTGCAGAATGTTAATACTGAAGCATGTGAGCAGCTATTTTCCTGGTTGTCAAAGTTTTCAATCATCACGAAACAAATGAACCGTTGGCGATTTCTATTTTTAATGTTATATGTGTTAGACGCACACAATGACACTGTAGTACAGTGACCTATAATTGGAAATAGTGTATTATTTACACACATAAAAATCTCACATCTTGTAACAAGTCTGCCAACAAGCTGTGAACAAGATGTATTCGCACCGCTTGTCACAAGTTGTGAACGGGTTTCAAACAACTTATTGACAACTTGTAACAACCTTGTTGAAATTATCACACTTGTTGCAAGGTTGTTCTGACAAGTCTGTTACATGCTTAATATAACAACCTTGTAACATCCTTGTTATATCATGAATGTAACAAACTTGTTAGCAGAGTCTGGCTACAAGGCTGATAATGCCATCAAGCTTGCTACAAGTTGTTAACAGTATAGTGTTTCTGTTTGAGTTATTTTGTATTATATTATGACCATAGTTGATATTAAGGGACCGATATGGATTTAGAGGATATAGGGGACAAAAGGGGGTAGAGAAAGGAACCTCGGGGAAAAAGGACGCTTGTGTATAGAATAGATTTTGGTGTGTGTATTTTAGACTAAATAGGAAAAATAGAATATTATAACTGGCGACGAGGTAACGGAGTTATTAAACGCGTGTTAAAATGGCGAAAGTACTCGATCTACCAAAACTACAACCTTTTACCTTGGGGGAAACTTCGACCATTAGCCAACGGTGGCGAAAATGGATCAAGTCATTCGAATATTATATTGCTGCCTCGGGAATCAACGACAAGAAACAACAACGTGCCATCTTTCTCCACCTCGCAGGACCTGAAGTTCAAGACATTTTTGAAACCCTAGAAGACACTGGCAACGATCTCGACACCGCAATAGCAAAGTTAACGTCCTACTTCGAGCCACAAAAGAACATTCCTTTCGAGCGTCACAATTTTCGACAGACAACACAACTACAAGGAGAAACAATCGAACAGTTAGCTATCCGTTTAAAACACCAAGTAAAATTCTGCGAATATGGCAACCCCAACGATATGATCCGTGACCAGATTATCGAACATTGTTCGTCTAGTCGTTTAAGGCGACGATTACTTCGCGAACCAGAACTTATTCTTGAGAAAACAGTCGAAATCGGTCGTTCGTTCGAAGCATCCGAACGGCAAGCCTCGCAAATAGAAGCAGACAGCTTAAAAACGACCGACCTGGGCGTAAATGCAATCCGTTCTAAAGCTGCATCATCTCGTTATCCAACATCGATACAAACAGGTCGTTCGAACATCGTTTGTTATTGTTGTGGAAATGCCGGTCACCGAGCTAAAGACCCTCGTTGTCCTGCCGAAGGAATGTCCTGCAATAAGTGTCACAAGCTTGGCCATTTCGCTAGAGTATGTCGTCAACTGAAACCAACAAACAAGCCTGAATTTCAGAATCCTACATCGAAAAACAAGAATGAAATCTACAAGCAAAATACTGGAAGTCATGGCGAAATACGATATGTATACGGCGCTCCACATCCGGCCACCGGGGAAAGTTCATCGGACGATGAGTATGTTTTGAACTTGGTGCCACCGGGAAAATGCCCCATGCAACCGTCCAAATTGGGAACTTCCCAGTTGATCTCATCGTTGATTCAGGCGCAACTGTTAATGTACTTGACAATGAAACATTTGCAAAAATTAAGGCAAACAGCCCGATCACACTGTCCAAAACAAATCTCAAATTATTTCCATATGGATCATCAACACCACTGAGTATTCAAGGTTCGTTTACTGCACAGGTCTCCCATAAAGATTTAATTACCAATGCCATTTTCATCGTTGTTGCGAATCAAAATTCTGGTTCACTCTTGGGGCACAAAACTGCAACTGATCTTGGGTTATTTCAAGAACATGAGAACTTCCATCCAATTCAGAACATATGTAATGGAGACAACCTGTTCATGCAAACACTTGTTACCAAGTATCCGCAAGTTTTCAACGGCATCGGAAAACTCAAAGATTTGCAATTGCACCTACATTTTGATGAGTCGGTACCTCCAGTTGCCCAAGCACCACGTAGAATTCCTTTCCACATTCGCAAGGCCGTCCAGACAAAACTCGATGAACTCGAAACACTTGGCATCATCGAACCAGTGAAGGGGCCTAGCCCCTGGGTCTCACCTCTTGTGGCAG